ATGGAGCAGCATGTCTTTACAATTTCTATTTATTAAAAGGTTTAAAAGCCACTCACAAATAAGGTGTCTAGCTGACACCAGCATCAATCGCATAGGCAGGGAAAAAAACCCGCAGCTCTGCTCATTCAGCTGTCTCCCGACAATAGCAGGGAGCGTCCTGACGTCAGCATCTGATAGACCACACCCTACGTGTTTCGTCACCACGACGTCCTCACGGGGCCCCACGACGTCATCACTGGTTGTTGAGGCCTGAGCTATGTCTGTGTTATTAACAATCAATAACAGCAAGAAGCTGTCATGTAATAGAGGAAATATTGCCACTGTTATACATGACATTTGGCTCCCGCTAAATGGGTAAATGTTCAGGTGTTTGTCCTCATCCCTAATGACAAGGAGAGACGAAGAAGAAGGGAAGTCCACCTTAACTCCTCAGTGGGGTGCCCATGGGAAGAAGGAGATCTTTCCTCAGTGGTCACCGCCACTCTCTGCTCTCCTTATCCCACGGTAGATGTTCATTGGAGGAAAGACAGAGTAGAACTCTACTATTGTTGCCCATGTTCTGCCTGTCAGGAGTGACACTGTCCACACTGCTGTAAGTCAACTGAAGAACTGATTGCTACACTGGCATATCTGGGACTGTTGATCGGACAGCGGTAGCCCATGTAAAAATTTGGCATCTCCAGGTGAAAGCCAGCAAGTTCCCAGGTATGCCAGTCAAATTAAACTCCTCCCTCCTCACACCCAAAGCAAAGTATAAACCAAAACCAAACCATCAGGTTAAATTCCAAAACAATGATGAAGCTCGGCATCATACACAAACTGTTAGACAGGACAATTCGATAGTTGCAGGCTGGTCATTAAGTTGAGTAGGTGTTCAATGGAGGAAAGAGAGAGTAGAACCCTCCGCAGCAGCAGCTATTGTGGCCCGTGTTCTGCCTGTCAGGAGTGACACTGTCCACACTTCTGTAAGTCAACTGAAGAACTGATTGCTACACTGGCATACCTGGGACTGTTGATCGGACTGCCGGTAGCCAATGTAAAAATTTGGCATCTCCGGGTGCAAGCCAGCAAGTTCCCAGATATGCCAGTCAAATTAGACTCCTCCTTGCTCACACCCAAAGCAAAGTATAAACCAAAAACAAACCATCAAGTTAAATTCCAAAACAACAATGAAACTCGGCATCATACGCAAACTGTTAGACAGGACAATTCAGTTGGCTGCAGGCTGGTCGGTAAATCGAGCTGGGAGTTTTTCTTCTTTTTCGTTGTTTGGCATGTGTCACCCTTCCATGTGCTCCTTGCTGCATAGGCCAGCTATAGAATGGGGCAGTTGCCATTTGTTTGTACTGTTGATATACTGGCGAGGGGTGCACTGGACACCTCAGCTGTCATTGTGCTATATGCTGGGTGTCCAGTGTGCCCCTGTACCTTTAAGGAGGGGTGGGTTCCCTCCAGGCATACCTGCCCTCAATCTATCCATTATTATAGATGTGCTTCTACTATGGAGGCTCTCTATAGAGACACTATGGAGGCTTACCATAAAGATAGGACTGCAGAAAATAATGGGGTGCCATGAAGAGGCTCTGCAGCTTACATATGTATTTGCAAATGTGTGCAAACGAAACCCCTGTTTTACTGCAAACTGTTAGGTGGGACAATTTGGCTGGTTGCAGGCTGGTCAGTAAGTTGAGCTGGGAATTTTCTTCTTTTTTTTGTTGTTTGTCAACCTCACATAAAGTGGTTGTAAACCTCAGAAATGAAATATGAACAAAACATATCCCTCTTTAGTGTGTACTTGTTCCAATTAAGAGCACTAAGTGTCATTTCTGTCTGCGGCTTCATTCCTCTGCTATCTGCGTATGATGCCGAGCTTCATCGTTGTTTTGGAATTTAAACTGATGGTTTGCTTTTGGTTTATAAAATGATGACAGCTGAGGAGGAAGCTCCAGCATACCGCCTGTGATTGACATCCTCAGCTCTTTTCCTGTGTACTGTGTGAAGAGGGCGTGTCTCTTTCTCGAATAAATAAATAAGTGCAGCGCTAATAATGATAAAATAAATTAGTTCATATACATAGAAATATACAAAATAAAATGATCCAAAAGTGACAGTCTGTGCAGGTCTAGGTGACACTTAGCCACAATCAAGATCCAGTGTTGGTGCTCCAAAACAGTGTGGTAGGAATACGCACTCACCAGATGTGTAATGTAAATACGCATTGAATAAATCAGTAGAGGTCCCCTTTAGGAGTCGGATATGATCCTGGCCAAGGATAATCCTACCTCTGGATAAAGGTGGTGCTGTCGGAGCTCACAGGATGGTAATGGATCCAGTCAGCCAGAGGTCCCCTTAAAGGATTAGGTGGGTGTAGAAGCCTGTATGTCAGGAACTCCCTTCTCTGGATACTGCAGTGGGCTGGATCAGGTGGGCTCTACAAATGAGTTGCATCCCTCCCCTGTTGTGGAAGCCATCTCCTTTCTGCAGTTCTGTTTCTGATTCCTTTCACATGTGGGGTTTGTCTGTGCTCTCCTCTTTCTCCCAATCAGCTCTCAGAGATCTCATCACTGAGCTCTGCAGTGTGTAATTTCAGCTCTCGCCGCTTTCTTTCTGAAAGCTTAAACAAGCTTTATAAATTTTGCACGGCTATAGACAAGAGCAGACTGCAGCTAAACAGGTACAAAGTATGTAGAAGGATTTGTTTCATCTCTGTGTATCTGAGGCCAGTCACTTCACTGGGTATATGTAAAGGGTTTACAACCACTTTAACTCTCAGCTCTAAAAAGCCACATAGAGCAGACAAATGGCACAAAACATTAACCGGTTTAGGTGTCAACCCCAAAATTGGCTGCAACAGTTAGTATTTAATTAGGAAGAAGGGTCAGCCGCACACCAGAGGATAGATGAATATAGTGTGTATTTATTCATCCATAGGACACACAAAACACCAGGACATGAATACAGGACCTGTTAACGCGTTTCACACCATCTCATGCTTAACCCCTTCATGCCAGCCGCACACAAATGTGCGGCCTCCTGGCGTCTGAGCCTAGACGCCGAGCGGTCCCCGTAACCGCACATTTGCGTTCATGTAACAAAAAAAAAGTATGTGCTGAGAGCGCGCTCCCAGCACACATGTGCGGTACTCACGGAAAGGTCCCGGTCCGCTCTTTTGATCGGGACCTTTCCCGATCATGTGACTGCTGTGACGACGCATCACGGCGGAAACATGATCCCTAAACCATGCCCCATCTGCTCCGCCTCCCGGCGTCTGAAACTTTTAAAGGGCCGGGAGGCCCTGGGAACGGGTTAATCATAATTGTCATGATTAACCACTTGCTGTCCGCCTGCTGTTTATAAACGGCAGGACGGTGGCACTCCAGGGGTGAGTTGTCGTTCATAAACGGCACCTGCCATTTCTAGCTGTGCACGCTCCCTGGGAGCACACAGCACCTCTATCCAGTGCCCGCTGTGTCCACAGTGAAACACCAATCGTCAGACGGGATCCCGATCATGTGATCACTGATTGGCCAATCAGTGATCACATGCAAAGTAGTAAGCAAGATGTCACTTGTGACATCATTGCTTACTACGTGTGAAATCTGTGAATGATCACAGAGGTCACATGGTACAAGGCTATTCACAACAGCCTTGCACCATGTGACAAGCTGTGACCAATCACAGCTCACTCAGTATTTCTCAATGGCTGCAAGAATGCAGACACAGAGAAAGAGAAATGATTGCTTTTACATCCTATATGGGTGTAAAAGCAATCACTGTAAAAAAAAATCTTCATCACCCCCCACGAGTAGTACAATGTCACCATGGTGACACTGTACTGCTAGGGTGACAGTATGGTAAAAAAAAAAAAAAAAAACATAAATAATAATATAAAAAAAGAAAAGAAAAATGTAAAAAAAATTGTTTAAAAATTATAATTTTTGGTTTTAAACTAATTTGGCTTTTTTTTTTTTACTAAACAGATAACAGAATACATTTCAGCCAAGATTTATGATGAAAGATTATGTATTTGCAAAATTTTATAAGAAAAACACTTTTTTTTCAAAATGTTTGGACTTTTTCATTTACATAGCAAAAAAAATAAAAATCCCAGCGGTGAATAAATACCAACAAAATAAAGTTTTATCTGTCTCAAAAAAATGGTAAAAAAAAAATTCATATGGGCACAGTGTTGCATGACCGCGCAATTGTCATTCAAAGTGTGATAGCGCTGAAAGCTGAAAATTGGCCTGGACAGGAAGGGGGTGAAAGTGTCTGGACTGGAAGGGAATGAAAGTGTCCGGACTGGAAGGGGGGAAAGTGTCCGGACTGGAAGGGGGGAAAGTGTCCGGACTGGAAGGGGGGGAAAGTGTCTGGACTGGAAGGGGGTGAAAGTGTCTGGACTGGAAGGGGGGGAAAGTGTCCGGACTGGAAGAGGGGAAAGTGTCCGGACTGGAAGGGGGTGAAAGTGTCTGGACTGGAAGGGGGGGAAGTGTCCGTACTGGAAGGGGGTGAAAGTGTCCAAACTGGAAGGGGGTGAAAGTGGTCTGGACTGGAAAGGGGGTGAAAGTGTCCGGACTGGAAGAGGGGAAAGTGTCCGGACTGGAAGGGGGTGAAAGTGTCTGGACTGGAAGGGGGGGAAGTGTCCGGACTGAAGGGGGTGAAAGTGTCCGGACTGGAAGGGGGTGAAAGTGTCCTGGACTGGAAAAGTGTCCCTGGAAGAAAATGTCTGGACTGGAAGGGGGTGAATGGTGAAAGTGTCTCCGGGACTGGAAGGGGGTGAAAGTGGGTGGAAGGGGGTGAAAGCTGTCCGGACTGAAGGAGGTGAAAGTGTCCGGACTGGAAAGGGTGAAAGCTGTCCGGACTGGAAGGAGGTGAAAGTGTCCGGACTGGAAGGGGGTGAAAGTGTCCCGGACTGGAAGGCGGGGGTGAAAGTTGTTCCGGACTGGAAGGAAGTGTCCGGACTGGAAGGGGGTGAAAGCTTCCGGACTGGAAGGAGGTGAAAGTGCCCGGACTGGAAGGGGGGGAAAGTGTCCGGACTGGAAGGGGTGAAAGTGTCCGGACTGGAAGGGGGTGAAAGTGTCCGGACTGGAAGGGGTGAAAGTGTGAAAGGGTTAAAGTGTCCGGACTGGAAGGGGGTGAAAGCGTCCGGACTGGAAGGGGGTGAAAGTGTTCGGACTGGAAAGGGTGTGAAAGCGTCTGGACTGGAAGGGGGGGAAAGCGTCCGGACTGGAAGGGGGGAAAGTGTCCGGACTGGAAGGGGGTGAAAGTGTCCGGACTGGAAGGGGGGGGGAAAGCATCCGGACTGGAAGGGGGTGAAAGTGTCCAGACTGGAAGGGGGGGTGAAAGTGTCCGGACTGGAAGGGGTGAAAGTGTCCGGACTGGAAGATGGTTAAGCACAAGATGGTGTGAAACGCGTTAACAGGTCCTGTATTCATGTCCTGGTGTTTTTTGTGTCCTATGGATGAATAAATACACACTATATTCATCCTTTCCTCAGGTGTGACCCTTCCTCCTATTGCTCCATGTGTGGTGGCGAGCCAGAGCCTGCACCTGTTATGGATTGATCTGGATTGTTTGTCTGAGCGGTATACCTTTGTTCTTTGGTATTTAACTACACAAAAGTGTGTGCACACAGCCCAAATCCCCTTTGAAAAAAAATGACTTTTCCCACAAACAACCTCGGCAGAGAAAAGTGACACCGCGTCTTAACGATGAACGCAAAAACGTTTGCGAATCAGGTTCAAACTTGCTTAACAAAGTCAAAAGTTTTCTCCTTTTTTTTTTTCTCTTCTCTACAAAATTTTGGTTCAATGAATCAGCCTTATTACGTCAATGAAATATTCGATCGCCTTGAGATTTCTTGTATTCCGGGGACATTACCCAGACACTATGAATGTACCTGCGTGATGACTCTAGTTAGCTCTCTTTTCCCTATAAGATTTCACCGCTACGCAGGCCAGTCACAGCTCATCCACAGAGCCATCAATCTGCGCGGCGGATGCCTATATTAAAATATCGCAGCGATGCCGAGAACAGGTCTTGTCAGGGAGCATGACAATCACTTCAGGGGCTTAAAGGGGAAAGTAAACAAATGCAGTGAAGCAGGTGAAATGCTCAAGAGAGACACAGCACAGGCGGAGGTAACAGCAATACGAGACGCGGGAAAAAGATCGCAGCTCTGACAGCTCAAATCCCTCTTGGCTTCATCTGCATGCGTCTGATAAATCACCGCCTTATCGGAATCCTACACCAGAAAACAAAATATTATTTCCTATTAAAGAAGAATCCCTGAGCATGCTGCCAGGAAATGTACCCAATAGCAGGCTATGAAGACTTGCCGCTTCTGTTCTTGACTGCAAGCTTGCCGCCTTGCTGCGCTAGAGGTTGCAATTCGGTTCCCTGCAGCTGTTGGTATTTATTAACCCCTTGGCGCCAGTGCCTCCCGGCCCTTTAAGGGTTTCAGAAGCCGGGAGGCGGGGCGGGGTTTTAGGGTCATGTGACCGCCGTGATTTGCCGTCACGGTGGTCACATGATCATGGAAGGTCCCAATCAAAAGAGCAGATCGGGACCTTTCCGTGAGTACCGGACATGTGTGGTGGGATCCATGGGTGGACAGACAACTCATGGGGCCCCCGGGCAATAAGGGATCATGGGGCCCCTGTGTTCTTGCCCAAATTCAAAAAAGCCTATGAAAAAGGTACCAGGGGCATCTCACTGATCCCGGGCCCTTGGGCAGTGCCCGAGTTTCCAAATGGTAAGTCCACCCCTGGTGGGAGCGCGCAGGGCGCGCACTCTCAACACATGTTTTTCTTAATTGCACACAAATGCGCGTCCGCTTGGCGCCAGGAGGCCGCGCATTTGTGTGCGGGCGGCCGGCATGAAGAGGTTAAAGCTTAGTTCCACGCACCCTGTCAAAAACTGTAGCTGCTGACTTTTAAAAAAACAGCCACTTACCTGTCCCTCGGTCCCGTGGTGTGTCCCCTGCAGCCCGTTTCACCGGCCGTTCTGGATTCCAGAAGGCCGCCATCTTCAGTGTGGGCACCCGGCTGTGACAGCTTGCGGCTTCACAGCCGGGTACCCACTGCGCATGTGCGAGTAGCGCTGCTCTTCATGTTTGTTCCTGTAGTCTTCTGGGACCTGTCACATGTCCCAAAAGACTGCAGGGAGAGAGGACACCTTCCATTTCCGATCGCCTAGGCGATCGGACCAGAAGTGGGAGCAAGTACCTATCAAATTCGGGTACCAATCCTTAATGGGGAGTGGGGGAGCAGTCCTTAAAGGGGAACTTCCCTTTTGGGTGGAGCTCCGCTTTAAGTCCACATGCACACAACGTTTTTACAGCGGATGTTTTTGGCTTTTGGCGTTTTTTTTCTACAGCTAGTAAACCCCCCAGCATGTTCTCCTCTATGTCCATGCACACATAGAGTGTAATCAACATTTTTTTAGAAGGAATGTTTTTTGGCTGGAAAAAAAAACCCAGGACTAGTGGGTTCCTAGAAGAGTTGTTTAGCTGTAAAAAAGCTCTAATGCTGAAAAACGCAGCCCAAAACGCGGTAAAACCGGCATTTTTGGACTTTTTTGACAAGAAAGAAAACTATCTTTTTTCTAAAAAAAAACCCACTAAAAACGTAAACGTGGAAAAACACAGAAGCTATACAGGAACAACCAGTCCCTGAGCCGATACCATGCAGGAGGACCCCCCAGAAGATTATATCAGCGGCATCTCTCAGCTTCCTTGCCACATGCAACAGGCAACCACCAGAGGATGTAAGGGAGCAATACATGTTTCAGAGACCCCATCCCCTTTATCAAGCCTTTTCTCTTGCATATCCCACTGGACCATCTTGAAGTCTGTTTCCAACAGGAGCTACAGATGACATTTTCTTTCCCATGCTGTACCTTTCTCCAGGGTGAACTTGTACAGCCAGCCTCTCCAGGACACTTGCTGCTTCCTCCTAGGCAGCACTAGTGAGCACCGGCTCTTCAGTAGCATCACCAGTTGAATGGTAAGTGGTGGCAGGCTTCCATCCTCTGCTGCAGGTATTCTTGTTTCTGTGACTCGACCCCCACTCTCAGCATCCATTGCCCAACTTTTTCTGGCCTTCTGGGACTTCCTCACCGGCTGCTCCATACACAATCTTGTGTAGGTGATGGGTGCCAAGTCGCTGGGTGTCAGCTTCATCACTGGCTCCCCAAAGTGCCCGCACTGCCCCTACCATGAGTGAGCCAAAAAAAATTTACCTCACACTAGCTCTGCCTAGTGGGTGCTACACTTGGCTTCACATTCTTCCAGCAGATCAGAGCAGACTTCCAACCTATTCTCCTTCAAATCTGGTGTCAACCGCCCACATTTTCTGATGCCCTAAGTCTTCCATCATCGTTTGTATGGCATTGTAACCACAGTCCAGCTCACGGATTGTGACTTGCCTGTCCACGCAAATAAATTCCTTCACTTGCTGACAATTCAGGTCAGTGGTCCTTGTTGATAAAAGGGGGCTCCAGATGTCCCCTCCCCATGTGAATGAGTATAGGGTACATGGTACTACTACTCATTCACAAAAAAACAATTTGGTGTGTAAAAAAGTGACAGTAGACAGTTTTTGACGTCTTGTGAATTCATCGCGTGCTGCGATTGGCCAAAGCATCGCATCTGACCTGTGGTCTAGGGCATTGCTTTGGCCAGTCATAATGCACTGTCAGGGCACAGTGCATTGTTGGGCGCAGCAGGTGAACAGCCCACCGAACGCCTTTACCGTTCACATGTTTTCCGAACACACGAATGGCCGATGTTTGCGCCGAACTTATGTTCGACTTGACCTTCTAGCCCAACCCTAGTTATGGATCTATGTAAGTTATTAAAACAGTTGTGCCCACTTTTGCAATATTTTGGGTGCGGCCCTTGTGTGAGATTTTAATGATTGGATTTACTTTCATTTTATACATTTTTTAAATACATTTTTAATAATAACTCTCTCTGATCAAATGTCCATCCAACATGATTTGAAATTATAAATTTGAAAAGTAGTGCCACGCCCTTATGTAAACACCGTGAATAAATAAATAAAATCAATTTATAATAAATAATATTCAATGATCTGTAAATAATTTCCCCTTAGTTACTCCTGATTAAAAAAAAAAAAAAAGAATATAAATAGATAATCTAAAAAATAGTTGATATTAATTAATAAAATAAATAAATAAATACATTTAGAAAGAATAATTCATAAATATTCAATAAAATTGAAAGAATGTTTAAATAAATAAATAAACTTAGAGTAATTCATAAATGTCCAATAAAAATTGAAAATCCCTTCATATATCAAATCCCATCTAAGTGGACTATATACTGCAAATGGACTGTTCACTTGATTTCCAAAATGACACCTCTCAAGATGAAATGAGTTACTTGGTGTTCTTCTATTAGTAGAAGACTGAATGTTTCTCCTCTTTTGCTCCTACTGATCTGCCGTGAATAGATCCTGGACTAGATCTTCCCTCAAAGGGTTGCTGTTTATTTTATCCCTGTTGCTCAGCGTATTGCCAGAAAAAGACAAGAAAGAAATAGTGCCGTATCCTTGATAAGCATAGAAATTTATTAGTGCCAATTGCGCACTTACTAAATAAAAGCCAATAAAGAGCTTTTGATATAAAATCTGTATCCAGCCTGAGCGGCGTGTGGGCTCACACTGCCTATACTCGCCGTGCATCGGAGTCTGGATACGTGGTGACGTCGGTGCCCCTCCCCAATGCGTTGCGCCACAGGGTCACGTGGCTTCGTCCGGGGGATATGATTCATCATTCTTTCAATTTTATTGAATATTTATGAATTATTCTTTCTAAATTTATTTATTTTCTTAATTAATATCAACTATTTTTTAGATTATCTATTTATATTCTTTTTTTTTTTTTTTTTTATCAGGAGTAACTAAGGGGAAATTATTTGCAGATCATTGAATATTATTTATTATAAATTGATTTTATTTATTTATTCACAGTGTTTACATAAGGGCGCGGCACTACTTTTCAAATTTTTTTTTTGCTAATGTTTATTAATATTTAATGAGAATATAGCCAGGTGCTAGCGAACTTATTCTAGAACAAATATTTATAGTGGCTCATAGGATATTTCTAATTTATCTCTTGAAATTATAAATATTTCATATAAAAAAAAAAATAATAAACATAATTTTTTTTAATTTCTTAACTAATTAATGGAAAGAAAATTCTAAGTCACCTTACAACCTTTTAAAGTATAAAGACTGTAAACGATCTCAGTTCAGGAAGTTAAATGGATGATTCCTGAACAAAGATGGCTCCATTCATCCAACC